TTTTGTTGTGATGGTTGGTTTACTTTGGATTTCCCATTTGAAAAAAAAAAAAAAAAGGAGAGACTGTAAGAATACTGTAAATATTCCTGTGGCTTTTCCTTTCTTGTTCCCATTTTAAGGTGCAAAAATCACCTTTTGTTACCTACACAGAAGTAAGAACACTGCACATACCTAGGCAAAGTTTTATTCAGGGAGAGAGAAGAAAAACAACCAACCAACCAACCAACCAACCAGCCAACCAAAGAAACCTATGGAAGAAAATGTTTCTTAGTGCCTCCTGTAGCTGCTTTCTGAATCAAGATTTTGTGGGTTACTTCTGGAAGAAACATATACTGGAAAAGGAATTAATTTCTTCTACAGTGTAGTCTGTCACCCATGAGGAAATATTGTTCTGCTTGACGAAGTAAAGGAACCTCAGGAGGGGGCAGAAGTAAAACTAGACATCATTAATGAACAACTAAAATTCTGATTATTTTGAGGTTCCTAAATAAAGTGAGGACAGATTTTTTTTTTTAAACACTGCAGACAAATATTGATATTGTTATACATGTTTAAATCAATTGTCTGAATCTTCTGAGATTTGTCCATCACTAGAAAAAGTTAATGAATACTCTTTTAGAAGTGGAATTTTCCTATTGAATGCAAATAATTTCAAAAGTTTATTTGCAGAATGTTTCACGCTTGTTTTTGTCAGACAGCTGGTGGATGGAAAGGGTTTCAAAAATAAAGAAAATTATATACAATGAATTACCAATTGCAGTAGACACTAGGAGATTAAATGTATTTTTATTGTGAGGACATAATGCTGCTATAACCTAACCTTCTCCACCCCCATCGGGTAAAGAACACTTAATGAAGGAGAGGATGCTTCTATTAATCTGCAATCCATTTCTGGTCTATATAACACCCATTAGACATTCACTAGTAATTTCTTCCATCTAACCCTTATTTTGGAAACAAAAATATTCTTTCAACCTTTAATAAGAAAAGACTGACAAATAGTTGACTAATACAAGTTTTCTATTTTATTTTTAATATAATCAGTAATATTTTGACACATTTATATTCCCAGTTATATGGAAGGCCATTATGCATTTTTTAAGAAAATCTTTCAAGATATGCATTGCCAGCACTTCTGTTTTTTGAATATCTGTCAAAACATACTTCTTAGAAGCAGTTTACCTGGGTGTAGCTTTTTCTGAGAAGGTCATCCCAGTGGTGGAAATCCCAGTGGTGTGTATAGGTTAGAAATAACATGATTTTCTGGTCCATGTTTTCCTACAGTTTCCAAGCTTTCTTCTCTCCCCACTCAGGAAATATTAGATTTCTCAGTAGTTGCTGGGCTAAGCTTTCATTCTGCCTCTACTTCTAAAAAAAGTTAATGCCAGCTTGTTGTCTCTGTTTTTTTAGCTTTGGTCCAAAGCTCGTTTTTAATTTACACTCAGACATTTGATCAGCTTCTGAGATTGTTTTATTAAATTTTTATTTAAAACAATAATTATAGGAAGAATACCTTCTCTAGTAGAGAATACATCCTTAAAGCCTTAAAGCTAAGAAAGCCCTGCTTTGCTTTTTTGTGAGCAAGAAATGCAACTTTCTGTAAGCCTGAAACATTATCAAATGAAGGGCTAAGCAATGGCATTATTTTTTTTTAACATTCTGTTACTTCAGTGAACTTCATCAGTAAGTCTATGATTACCTTTTCTCTTTTTTTTTTTTTTTTTAAATCTAGTTTTGAGTTTTGGTTTTATTATATCTAAGGAGATTGGGTAAAAATATCCCAGAGTAAAGCAATTCTGCTCCTTAACCCTATATGACTCTGAACACAATGGGTTCCTATTCTCATACTTGCTGACAGGATATTACTGCTTGCCTTTGATATATAATTTTATAGTATCTGCTGCTAGTCAATTGCCCTTTGATATGCAATTTTATAGTATCTTTTCCGAGTTTTTTAGACCTTTTTTATTGGTGTTGGTCAAATCAGGTGTATAAAGCAAGAACATCAGTGTGAGGAGTTTGAGTTCAATGAGAATGAGTTGCCTATTCATTCTGCTGGCTGGTTCCAAGTCCAGTGTTATGACAGAATTCTGCCACCTTTTTCCCCAAGTTTTTTTGTTAGTTTTGCTTTGGCCATAGGGCTACTATCAGAACGTTAGGCCCCAATCTTGAAGTGAGATTTTCATGTGCGATCCTATTGACCTCAGCCAGTTTTTAAGCAGATACTAACATTGGACAACCATGAATTTGTTCCAGAAGAATTTCCTGAGACAATCAGCTGTGAAGCTTCTGAGAAATTCAGATAGGCTGGAGATCAGCAAATGCACAGGTCATGCAGGATTTTGTCACAGTAACAACACTTGCCCATGTGACATTGATGGGGCCCTGGACCTTTGGTGACAGTGTCTTTCATCTCTCTCTCTCTCATTCTCTGGATTTGTACAAAGACATTTACTCGTGCATACATATATATACACACACATATATATATATGTATGTAGCATCATGGAGCAAATTTACATACATGTATATGTATCATAAGAAGTAAGCACTGGTGTCCTGAGTGTGTTTGTCAGATTTCCTATTTGTTATATATTCTCTGTTTGAGATGATCTGTTTTCTCCAAAGGTGTCTAGGCATGCATATGACTTATCTCAGTCATGTCTCCTCATTCAGGTAAAGCAAAAAAGTGAGAGAAAAATGAAAGAACTTAGAATTTTTAAGTCCTTTGCATTAAAAATTATACACAAAAGTAAATCTGTTACATGCCTGAGTACTTGGGTTTTGGTTTAGTTTGCTTTGGATTATATATTTTTTTTGGGGGGGTTTGTTTTTGGGGTTTTTTTTCCAATTATAGCAAATTATAGTTATGTTATAGAAGAAAGTCCACTAGCAGCAAACTTATATGTCTATGAAAGAATGAAGCTTTTGTTTCTGGACTTTGGGCATATCCAGAAGATGACTGCAAGATCTAGCTCTAATAAACCAATCTAAAAAAGGAACTCTGATTTCCTAAGAGCACCAGAATAAAGTTTGCATGAATACCTGGTTAAATACAACAGTTCAATAATTAATAAAAAAGCTATCCAGAACAGTAAGCACATTCTGGAGTTAAGATTACTTTACTTTACTATAATGAATATCACTAGTATAAAAAGTAGTACATCCCCATAAATAAAGACACAATACTTCTCTTAATTTCCTTGAGTATTTTACATAAAAAATGTCATATATTTGAAACTCATGCACATGTAAACATTTTTAAAATCCATTATTAATTTCAATTCAGCTATCGTCATAATGTAAAATACTCTATGGAACAAAAATCTTGCCAGGACTGAGTTCTGACATAAATAAACTGGGATATTCTGTCATAAAATACTGATTTTAACTTCTCTTAAAACTTGTATTTATTTGTTAAAATGAAGTTATGATATATATAAAGTTGGAACTAATTTTTGTAAACTCTGATTAAAATGCAGAAGTGGTAATTTGGAAAACTTCCCAATCATACCTGAGGGGTGAAGCAGGAGGATTAGAGATACTGAGAGAAACCCCACAGAACTGATAATTTTCCCCACTGTATCCTTTTAAAAAGCTGTAGCTCTCGTTTTTTATAAATTTAGCTGCTTTGTAGTTTCTCTACAACCTCAAATTTTTTAAAGAAAATCACTACAGATAGCTTCTTTAAGATTTTCCTAAACTCTGTTTGACTTTATCTCTAAATAACAAAACATGCAGGGCTGGATCCTGCCAGGTACAGGAAATCCTGTAGTAGTTTATCAAGGTGAATGTATGTAGCTGGAACTTAAATTTGGCATGCCCTCCCTTTCATGGATGCCAATGAGTCATCTTACTTTTACCTCTTTTCTTCTAAACTTGGGTTGGATCTGCCTTCATTTCCCAACTCACATATTTATTTATGTATTTTTAAAAAATTTTTTAATTAACCAAGCTAGAAAGAAAGAGAATTCTCAAGCCACAAAACTCTGCCATGCAAGGATATGTGTGGTTTTGCCAAGGGCCTGCATCCCTTGTCATTTTGGAGAGTCAGAAACTGATGAAAGATGTGGAGTTGAAGTAACATATAAAAGCTGGGAACAAAACTTGCTAAGCTGTGCAGAGAGTGTTCTAATTGACCATCTACATTCCATAAGACTTTGTTGAATAACTTGCTGTTACTAATATCACCCAGCACAAAGTAATTTTGCACACAAAAATCATAATTTTGTGTTTCTAAATCACCATGAAGATATAAATTTGCATATGATGTCAGTGCTCTATAAAACATGCTAGATTTTTTTTTTTTAAGAATTGAATTTTTCTTTGGAATTATAATTCTAGTCTACCTTACTAAGAAAACAGGACATTATCCATATTAAAATAAACTGTAAGCAAAACTAAATTCTGCCCTTTGTTTGAGGCAAATGTTATGCTTATTTTATTTCACATTAAAAACTTTTTCTCCCCCCCAAAAAATAATCACAGACTAGGGATAGCACAGCTTTATCAGAGAAATACACTTTTGAGGAGTAAGTTTGTATCATAAAGAGTCTTTCAGAGGTCCTGGTGCCCTGTCTAAAAGATGATCCAGAGGCTAAAACAGAGGTCACCCCCCAGTGCCAACACCTCTTCCATACGATGGAGCATGCAGCAGCAAGGAAAGTGCTGTGCATTGTCTCTTGCAATGAAAACTGGCTGTAAGAGAAATGCTAATATTTAGGTAAAGAAATATTTACTGATATTCCCCATGCCAAACGCTGCAGCTGTAACTGCAAGGCATGTGAAGCTGGCAAAGCAGCCAGACCCCTTCCTAGGAGTGTTTTTATATTTTTTTCCTGCTAACTGTAACGTGTGACTGCTTTTCTGCCTAAACATCTCTAAAGGGCTATGAAAACTGAAGTCCTTCAAAGCTGTTAAATGTTTCCTCAGATTCACAATAAAATTCTGCATTACAGTTCTCCTAGTAAAATCTCTGAAGCATTGCAAGCGGTACTTACATAATTTTCGGTTAAGTCAGTATTTGTGTATTCAACACCTAGAAAATAAGGCAAGTGAATGTGGATAGGGAAGGGAAAAAACAAAGGCGAAGGGGGAAGGGGGCGGGAGGGAAGGGGTGGGTTGGGGGGGGGGGGAACAGACAAACCCTACCCTGAAACAGCCATGCAGCTATTAAACATATGCCAAAGTAAACAATAGTGCGAGGGTCTGCCATAGCTCTGCCCTGCAGGTAGACGGCAGGCGGCACAGAAGGAAAGCAAATGGCAAGGAAAAGAGAAAGACGGTACAGGATGTGGATGAGATGCCGAGCCCTGAGAGCATGAACGGCCTGATTGTGATCCTGAAGTCACACCATCAGCCATGCAAAACAGGACATACCTTTCTGGCTTGCTGCTTCTGTCGGCTGAAACAAAGCAGTCCCATTCTCAGCGGGAGGCCAAATCAAAATGAAATTTTATTTAGTCTGCACTGTCCCCAGATTGGGTTTCAGAATGACTGCTTTAGGAGATAGCATGGATGTGGCTGATGCATGCTTTGCATATGAAACTGCAATAGAGGAGGAAAAAAAAAAATCTACATAATCAAAAAAATCTGTGCCGTGTGGATTGCAAAAACCCCTGGACGTCAGTGAAGCAGCTACAAAGGATGTTTTAAAAAATGACCTTCCTGAAAAAAAAATTACACATTTGTGCTTTGCAACACTATTTTCAATAAATACCTAATAGGTCACTTTGCATGTAATTATTCAGGAGCTGCCCTGAGAGACTGAAATATCAAATAATTTTTCTGTCTTTTTTTTGTTTGTTTTTTTTTTGTTTTGTTTTGTTTTGGTTTTTTTTTGTTTTGTTTTTTTGTTTTAATCGTGGAACAAAATTACAGTTTGGAAACAAATGCAGAGAAAATGTATATCTCAAGAGGATTTCTGTGTCTTGCAGTAGCTGCGAGTGATTTCACTTCAAAATCCTCATCAATTTAATTTTTAAGTCCCTGATTCTTAGAGTATCTAAAGAAAGGCCTACTGCAGTAAAGAACATCTGCTTTTTGTACCACTGATCTAATACATTCCACCTTGCACTTTTAAAAAAGGACCCATTCTTTGATTAGACACACTTAATTTTACAGACTATTAATAAATAAAAAAGATCATCAACTGATCACACAGTATTTTCATTAGAAGTTAGAAATAACTTACAAAGGCAAGGACTAGTCTGCAGAAAATGCAGGGCATACACCGTGTAATGCCTTTGTTGTCAGTTATGCTGCAAATGAGATTTTCAAATAGGATTTGCAGAGGCAGGGCAGTGATCAGCACAGTGCAACATCCAGGAAAGGGAAGTTGAGCACAGTATTCTGTGAAACAAGGGGGCAGAAGGGAGCCTGTTTGTAGATACATATTATTATCCATAGAAAACACTTATCACTGCTTGATTTTGCGACACCAGCTACTTGGAAGTAGGTGATACCAATAATTCTGTAAGTGCACATCTGTGTGGGAATGTGTGTTTGTATTTATCTGTGTGCAGGGCATGTAAGCCTGTAGTCTGTGCACATGCTTGATGCTTACACTGTAAAAAGGAGAAGCAAAAAGCAGCACAAACAATACATGTTTTCAACTGACAGATATGTCTCTGCTGGGACAAACAGTGCTAATGCTGCACTCTATATAGATTATGGACAGCTAAAGAACAGGATGGAAAAAACCCCAAAAGCCCAAATACCATAGAATCTTTCAGAATGCAAAAATGCAATATCCCAAATAAGCAATATAGATAAAAACTTACACGAATAATGAGACAGACTGCAAATCATTCACACAATGTGCTTTCATACCGTGATGACGGAAGCCACTGACAACAATGCAACCACGTGCAGATAGTCCTTGGAGAAACAGTCAAGCAAATTTTGTAATTCTATCTTCTGTGCTTTGCAGCCTGAGTTTGAGACTTGCTGGAACAAAATGTATGAAAATATTGATGTTTTAAAAATTAAGCATTGGACGTCATGGAAGGTAACTTCATAATGAGTTCTCCTACTGCTATTTAAAGCTAGAAATCCATAAGGAGTACAGTGAAAAATATAACATTTGTTCTCCTTATGTCTTGGAACAACTGTTTTTATATTTGTAATCATCCTAACTGTTGTTCCAAACAAGATACTCAGATAGTCCCTAGCCTCATGCTGTATCTTATTTATTCTGATGCATATCTTATAGCAAAGCTTCATCTGTATTGAATTAATTTGATTTTTCTGAGTGTTATTATTTTTATAAATGCTTATTTTTTTCCACTCACAGAACTTCCCACTTTAGGGAAAACGCAAGATGTGATTGCTTTAAAAATAGAAGACCAAATACATAGCTAGTATTCCCAAAATTCGATGCACCTGGCATTCACTTTATACCTAATAAGCAATCCGTGAATATGCAAATGTTCAATGTCTCTAGTAACCTCATTAATTTATTCCTCAGGCAATCAAAGAATGTGAACCAGTCCTCTGCTACTAATACTGGAAGTGGTACGCTGCTCAGCATTGCTAGAATAATCTGAAAGCACATTCTGCATATTGAAAAACTGTTTCATCTTTCCTCCTTCCTTTGCCACTCTAATTCAAACAAAGACTTCCTACCTCAGTTTACATAGCTGACAGCAAAAGTTGAAAAATGCCAAGAAATAATTAAGACGTATATATTATCTCTCTGTCTCTCTCTCTGTCTCTCTCTCTACATATATATATAAATATATACATATATATGTATCCATGTGCACACATGCACGGGAAGATAAATAGTTTAAAGAGATCTCAATGGAATTCCAGTTTGAAAACCATCTGAGTTTTCTAATTTATTTATTTGGAAAAGGGGAAGCTTGGGCAGGATGGAGGAGTGAGGGAAAAATGACCTGCCTCCTACTCTGCAGAGCAGCTGAATAATCTTTTCCTTTGCCCACATTAAAAGCCCTGAATAATGTTTATAAAATGTTAGGGAATCCCGGTAGGTTTCCTATTTAACAAGCCATGTATGACAAATCACAGTGTAATGTACTACGTTCTTAATCTTTAATTAGAATGTGAATATCTGTGCGAGAACGCAGTTAACTTTGACACATTAAATCTTCTGGTTAAAGTGCCTTACAGGAAGTGCAAAGATGAAACACTGCAACAATCTACTGCCTCTCTCCATTCACCCAGACAGTTGGGGAAGGATGATAACATCTTGTAATACCTGCTCTGTAGTAATTAATCGCTGTGGTATTTAGGACCATTCAAGTAGACAAATATGACAGAGACAGGGACAATTAGGAACCTTGTTCAAGCTACATTAACTTTTCCAGCTATTACAACACAGCAGCTCAAGTTTGCTTGTAAAAGCTGCAGAGGGATTGTTATGCATTAGCCGTGCGATTATTAATGAAAGAAAAGGAGAATTGTGTTTATTGTAGTTTGAAAATTGCAAATAAATTTCAATTATCTGCTATGTCATTTTGTTAAACATGCATTCTGGAAATGCCTTTGTACTCTAAATCATGAGCCACTTAGAGCAAACTAATACTAGAAAGCCTTTGGGAGATACAAAGTCAATATTTTTGTTGAACTGGCCTTCTTTCTTGTTGAAACTAGAGACAGACAGAGCTACCTGAAGATATTTCAGATAGTTAGTGAACCCCACAGACACTGGTGTTCATCCTGACTCTGTGTACCAACAGGCAGTCAGATCAAACTTTGTCACTTCAGACTTTGACACTGGTGGAATGTGAGTTCTGCTCCACAAGAATAAGAAAGCTCAGCTCCCTTACTGATGGCAGGCATAAAATGCACACAGATAGATAAACAAACAGCGGTGGGAGGAGAAAGCCCTTCAGAAAGCCCTTTGTCTCTTTCCCATTATTGCCACAGTCATCACCAGGACAGACAGAATGAAACTCAGGGAAAACCTTTGGGACTTGGTATGGATTACATATTGTTAAGGTTACACACTCTTTGCTCTTTCACTTTACTATCAGTAAGGAGCACTAAATGCACTGCAGAGTATAAAGTTTATATTTTAACTATATGTTTGAGGCAGCATGATTTGCCATTGCTGTTTGGTACTGCATGAACACATATCAGTTCTCAATATTAAAGGAGGACAGTCAGAAAACAACAGAACTGGGCAAACATGGCAAATACTTTGGCATGAATATTCACTTGGTGTCTATTTTCTTAAAAAAATTTTAAAAAAAGAAATCACCTAAACCTGTGGCCCTTTTATGTTCACTTTATATGAATATTTGAACTAGAGTTTCTTAGCAGCATGAATGCTTTCAGAAAGCTAATTTGAAAGTCATACGTGCAAGTGTTTGTGGAAAACGAATTCTAAATTTGCATGTGCAAATATTTGCACTGGGTATGCTGTCTTCTTCCCCCAGTCAGGGAGCAGCAGCGCTGCCACGTGTCTCACCCCACCAATCCTTCCCAAGGAACCCAGCTTGAGTTTCAAATATTGTGTCACATTTAACCAGTGAACTTGTTTATGATTGAGGCCCAAAGTAGAAAAAAAGAGAAGTGTTAAAAGTGTATGAAATGTACTTGAACAACAAATGTTTGCAGGGATGGGAGATGCATAGCCGGGCATTTCGAAAGCAGGAACAGAGGCACACTGGCACAAAACAGAGTTTGTTAGCAAGTGTTCGCTCACTTCTGGTATGACTGCTTTTACCTCCTCTCTCCTGCCAGAGGATGAAAAACAAAACTGTGGGGTAAAAATACCAGTCAGGACAGGGAAACATGTTGTGCCAATATTCTCAGTTTATGGTCAATCTACTGAAATAGTACCCTTCAAATTCAAAACATTTGTGAGGCTTGAAGTGCTTTTTGAAGGAGTAAGACAGGACTCCACCATTTATTAGAAGATGGATTTTTTTTATTTTCAACTTCTGTAGTTGCAAAGTACACATTGCCTCACACATGCCATTTTCTGCAGCCTACATCATTGTAGTCTAGAAATAAAAAGAAAAGCCAGCTTAGCCCAGCAGAGATCTGCATCCCCACCCCGGAATCCGTTGTCACAAAATGAAGGAGGGAGGGGGCTGGGGTGGGGGGGGAAGGGAGGAAAGCAGCTCAGTGCACAGCAACAATTCCCCCTCTCAGCTGAGCTGCAATGATGTCAGCTTTCTGATTACAAACTGCTTATTTATGCTTCAACAGCTGCCAAGAGCAGCAAATAAGTGGCTAAAAGAGTGTCTAGACCAGGCATTCAGGCCTCTATTGTTTGCTGGTTGTTACCTGGTTGACAGCGATGGGTACAGCTGCCTAGTGTGAAAGAGAGCAAGGGATGGGGAGGCAGTGATTGACAGAAGGGCCCTCGGGGTCAGGCACAGCCAGCCCCGATGGCCCCATGGCTTTATGTTCCCCGGTCTAAAGGGAAAGCCATGGCTCTGCCTAGAGGTTGGAGGTGAAAGGAAATGTTTGAGGGTAATGAAAAAAATCCTTTAGCCAAATTTGTGATCATGAACAGTTACTCTGGGGAATTTAAGACCAAGTGTGCAGCAGTTTTCTGTATATACAGAAATTGTTATTGGTAACCACCAGAGGAATAATAATGTGTTACATGTGCATGGGTAAAAATGTATCTTTGTGCAGTCCTTCACATATGAAGGACTTAAAACTGCTGGTGGTTTTATTGTTTATTCAAGTTAAAACTGATCATGCTGCTAAAACCTGGTACCATGCACTATGCAGAAATTCATTCTGCCTCAGGGCTAGCTTTAAAAGCATTCCCAAGCTTTTCTGAAAAATATTCAGGTATTTGGGAGGGAAAAATAGATATTCAGATAAGACAATCATCTATAAGAAGCTCTCATACACTTAGTGAGTTTTGCTCTATATATTTATTTTTGGAGAGACAATGGCTCTAAAAACAACTCGGTGGGAACAGCTGGACAGTGAGCAGGCTGACCAAAAACCATAAACCCCCTTTTTTAGTTGATATAGAGATGTCCTCAGTCTGGTTTTGATCTCATAGATGTTAGTGTGGTCCAGGCATAATCCTGCTGAAGTCGAAGGAGTGACATTGATCCAAGCCAACTGCAATCACTGGCAGGCTGACTGAATTTCTCACCTCCCACCCCACGATGGGCTACTGTTCAGCAAAAAAGACAAAATGTCTGAGAAGTTTTAAAAGGATGATGCCAATGAATTGTTTTTAATAGAACAACAAAACCAGATTCAAAAGTCTTTGAACAATATGCAAAAACTGTAGCTACAGTGTCCTCTAGGAAAAAAAGATGAAACCTTTATGCTCACTAGCAGGTCTATGGTTATCTACATCCAAGTACATGACGATTAAGTTGCTGGGGCAGTCATGAGCAGAATTAATCTTACTTTCTTGTTTGGCATTTTCTGACACCAGACAAAGTTCCATGCCAAGGAAAAAAGTTGATTTGCAGAGCTTGTTACATATGACAGAATTATTAAATGTTTTATGACCATATGGTATAATTTTTTTACTGTAGTTTTTGAAATAGATTGTAATTAACAAATGAGTAACCTTTCTCTGTGAAAGATAAGAAAACATTATAAAGTAATCTAGGTGTCAGTAGTGGCTAGAGAGGTAAAAGTACAGCAGAGCACCTGAGTAGCAGAAGCTTAGTTTTGCTATACAGTTGGCTTTCTACATATCTGATGCAAAAGCTGTAACTGAAATGAAATCATGTTAAATTAGCTGTAAAAAATAAGTTGATTTAATTAAGCACAGAAAGACTTATTAGATATAATAAAATGTTAAAAAGTCAAATGATGTGCAGTTACATTTCAGCTAACACAGCTCAACAAATCCACTAAATTTATTCCTTTCAATAATGATCTGTTTTGAGCATTTAATTAGATAAATAATATTTAATCACTTCAGCAAATTTGAACTAGAAAAATTCCTTGTCATCAGAGGTGACTAATCCTTGCTAATATCCACCTTT